TATTAAATGAAACTAAAGAGGATTGTTAATGATCAAGACATAATGAGTGCCAGAATCGTCGCGTTTGAATGCAGCTTTCTTAGCTCGCTCCCACGAAAAATTGTTTTCGTCACCATCCAGCAATATCTGTTCAATAATTTCATCGACAATACGGGTACCAATTGAAACAACAATAGGTGCTTGGTTTTCGCTAGCAAATGATCGAATTGTAGCTCGAAATGGCTTCACGTCATCGAAGAAGACACGCTTTGCTTCAGATGAAAGCTGCTCGTACTGTGCCCACCTACTAGGATGCTGAGAGAGAAGGTGGTTTTCGATACGCCTCAGAACGGAAGGGATACTTGTAAAATTTGTGAGTCTGGGTCACTTTTCTCTTGTATCCCACCTTCTCTTCCCTGCCAAACGCCATGCAAAAGCGGCATGCAACAGCCAGTATGAAGCCGCTCGTTGAACTTCGCTCACTGACTGCGAGACCGAATTCGAGAAGATGGCTATCTTGGAATGGGGTTGAACGACCTTGCTGTTTGCCAGACATTCTAGCCTGTATTAGCTGGTACGGGTTCCCTCTGTCGTCCTGCTCAGCCATAACACCATGGAGATTGATCTGGAAGCCGCCAGTATTGCAATCACAGGAACCAGCGACGGAGAAGAATAGTTTTCTTCATGAAACCTGGCATTTTCTAAGAATAGGATATGGCGCGAATGCCAGAAATAGATTGAAATGCCAGATTTGTAGATGCCTGACGGTAACGCTTATGCAGATAGGGATGACCAAATGCAAGATTACAGAGTAGATAACATGCGCTAATTATTATATGAAACGCGCTACGCTCTGTAGGTGTGTCAACACGCTTGGCAGCGGCATAGTCAGCTTACCGTACGTGCGGCTCTAAGCCTCGCACTGTCAGCCAATATACTAAATAGAAAGATAGGTAGAAAATGGAGGCCTAAAAGGGTATATTGACCAATTACTTGCTCTTCTGCTGCTTCTTTCGCTCGATGTACTTGGCGTTTCGGGCGGTCAGCTTGCGAGGGCGGCTGTGCCTCTTTTTCTTCTTGGGGTACCAGTCAGGACCCATCGCTTTCTTGACGTTTGCCAGGCTTTCCTTGCGGCGCACTTCGGCCGAACCAGGTGGTGGGGGCTTTTCCTCCCAGAACTCAACCGCTTTGGGCCGGTCTCGCAGGCTACACAGCGCCACACGATGTCTCGGCCGCTAATCGTACGGAACGCGTAACCGTACTGCAGCTTCCCACAGCAGATGCAGCGCGCCCCTGGGTCCGTCGTAAGCCGCTGCCGATTCAGCAGGAGCAGGTCAATATATGCCTTGCACGTGGTCCTGCAAATTGTGAGTAAGTTAACAAATTATATTTGGTTTTACTAATTACGTGCGTCAAAATATTAGCCAATAGCACGGTAATATATAAGTGGTATTTATTAAAACCAAATATTGAGGTGTTTTATTATTTAATATTTATTCTAATATTTTGCTTTGTTTTATAATAATATCAGATTTACAAACAAATACATATTTTATATGCAATAAAAGAGACTAAAAGACTATGTACCGTGCGCGCATGCATTCATCGGGTGCGGTGCACGCAGTGTTGGTTAAACCACTGGTGGTATACTCCATTAACACCAATCACCATGGTTGTCCGTTTTTTTTCTGGAGTTTTGGTGGCGTTACTATGGTTATTTGGTGTTATTACTGGCAATTAGTATGGTGTACGCATTGTGTATGTAATGTTGCTACACGAAAAAAACTCAAGTTGGGTACGCTCAAGATGCGACCAAGCTCCACCACACGAAGTTAGCGGCGGTGTGGTGGCTACGGGGGCAGCTGTGGTCGACCAAGTGGACGAGTTCATGGCACTGGATTCAGAACTTCCTATGCTACCTGTTGTACTTAAGAATGATGACGAAATGACAGTGTCCGCTGAGACGACGCTGATCTTCTTGAACACGACGTACTCCTCTGCTGCAAGACTGAGCGAGCTGTCGCCTGGTAGCTCCACTAGACCCACAATGATGTAGTCTTCTGCTGTCGGTAGCGTGAACGTATTGGTCTTTAGAGCCTTAGCGCCGGCCGTAGCGAAAGCTCCACGGTGGAGACGGAGACGCGTGAGGAGACGGGGACGGAGGTGAGCGGTCTCGCGACGACGTCGACGTCGACGTCTGGTGGCCGCGCTATTCGGTCGACCGTAGAGGCTGGTGCAGCCCCGGGTGAGTCGGCTTAGACGGAGGTGTTCCAGTCGCAGGAGGCCGACGGCAGCATCGTGATGAAGACGGTGAAGACGACGACGCGTACTTCGACGAGTGCCAGCGGCGAGCTGGTGAGGACGGTCGAGGTGGAGACCACAACGGAGACGGAGACGACGTCTGGCGAGAAAACCACGACGGTGGAGACGGAGGTGAGCGGTCTCGCGACGACGTCGACGTCTGGTGGCCGCACTATTCGGTCGACCGTGGAGGCCGGTGCGGCCCCGGGTGAGTCGGATCAGACGGAGGTGTTCCAGTCGCAGGAGGCCGACGGCAGCATACGGTGAAGACGATGACGCTGTTGGGTTGGTATGCAAAGTGGAGCACACTTCCTGCATTTCATACGAGCTACCAGCTAATTCATTATCTTAATATGTTGGTGTTATGTTGTCCTACTACGGTAGGTTTCAAATAAATGCTGTGTTGTCTACAGACGCCATTCATTGTCCAGACGGCTCGACGATAGGCTACTTAGTTTAGGACTCGCTAAACCTTCCAGAAGTCGCTAAGTTTTATGTGCTCAGGCTGCATTCGTAGTCGAATGTTCCTCTCCATTTACTTCGTACAAATGTGTACTGCGTGTATTTATCTCAACGCACTTCAACTGAAAGACCCTACCATAGTTTATCGTTTCATCGACTGGCTGATCAAACCTGCCCCTCTCAGCGGAAGCGCACCGGGCTCGCAAAATGCCAAACTGCATTTAAACCATCACATAGAGTTAGCACAAATACCCGAGTTAGTGCTGTCACGAACGATTTACCTGGATCTTCAGTTAATGCTTTCGACGTATCCCATAGCTCCGCCAACGAAATCTTGTGACCACGTAGCCCCGTCAGCACTTTTTCCTGGGGAAAATTGCGGTCGTTAAAAGAAGGAAATGGGTCCTTAATAGGTTCTTGAATGTCTTCCTCGGACTGCTGCGCAATTTTGATAATCTTGTCTCTGAACGCACGCTCAGCTTCGTCACTGCCCCGGTCTGCCGGTAGTATTGGTCTCGATCTACTGTCAGAATCACTACAGTACGACGCTCGATCGGCAGATAAGTCACTGATCTCAACCACAGCCCTGTGATTCGGTGGCGGCACGTCTTCATCTCCATCTAGCTCTGCCAGAACAGCACCCCAGTATTCAAAAGCATCGTCCGCCCCCAACTCACTTCCTGTTTCGTCGTCTGACTCGTCTTCAGTATCGACTTGGTTGCATTCAAATCGTTCGTCTTGGCGTCGAGGGCGCTCTGTTGGGTTGATCAGCTTTTTAATACGCTGGGATTTCAAGATGCTATCAAGCTGATCCGACTCACGAACCTTCTTCCGAACAGCGGCGATCTTTCGAGCCTTCTCCACCGACATTTTGTTTCGTTTTGCTGTGTGAATCAGCGCTAACTCACTGAAGTAGCGCTCGCATGTTGCTGTGTTGACCACAATAGACAGCACTTGCATCGCAAGTATCGACAACTTGCTAAAAGGCATGTCATCGCGCATGAAATCCCAGAACGAACTGACGGTACTGAACCCTCCCTGTGGTGGAAGTGCTAGCTTTCCTTTCAGCCACTTGTAAATATCCTCTCCTAAGTTGCCGGGGTCCGCGCGCGTGAATCGCCGATAATAGTAAACGCCGATGCGGCACAGGGAGCCTATCGTTGTCAGCGGGGTCTTGTTTAACAGCTTTTGAGCGGCATTGGTGTGTAAAGGATGTAAAAATAGAGCGAGCAACATGAGCGGCTGCTCACACTGCTTCCATCGTTGCTCCACTTGCTTGATAAGGTTGCGCGTGCCAAACGGACGCACCGAAAATCCTTTGAATATATCCATGTAGCACACAACAACATCCGCGAGCGAGTTCTCGTCGCGCTGCAACTTCAAAGAGGCAAATGCAAGCGGACGCACCACCTCTTCAGCGTCTTTAAGCCGTTCCCAAAATGATCCTCTGCTAAAAACGCGTGCAGCATCAGGAAAATCATCGCCAGCTCGAAACTTAAACTCTAGTAGCTCAAGCGCACTTTGAACGCGCAACAACGATGCAAAACATCCATGCATGCTGTTCCAACGGGTTTCACATAATTGTTTTAGATTCAGGAAATATCCATAAGTATCCACCATGCACGTCCTTGCTTCGACTAACCACTTTGCGGAAGACGCATTCAGAGCATTGACCGCGTCTGATGCTTGCTTGGTGACCTCAGAAAAATCTGACTTCAGAACTGCCTTGACTAAATTGTTTAGATCATGAGCAAAACAGATCTGAAATGAGATATGCGGCCACCGTAGACTTAAAATTCGTCGTGCCCGCGCGCATTGTCCGGCATTATCGGTAACAACGCCACCAATTGTCCAACCATCACTCTGCATCTTTTCCATCACACCTTCCATTTGTTCCGCAATTGCGATAGCGTCATGCCTGGGTCCCGTAGGAAGCAAAGCGTATGTCATACCACACCCAAAAAGAACCAATTGGCAACCAAGCAAGTGAGCGCGAGAAATGTTTTGCCAAACATCACTTAAGAAATTCACGCGCGCACCTTCATTAGCACATTGTACATTACGAAGTGCCGTGCTATCTTGGCTCTCGCAGTCGAAAGCGTACGCGTCTAGAATGGGTCCACCAAGCTTCTTGCGGGTTGGTAGTGGGAAGATGTCAGCGATCATCTTGCTTACGTGACGCAGAAAACGCACAGTAGATAAGCGCTCAATAAAACTGTCAGGAAGCCGATTATCAGCTTGAAACTCAACTAGTAATCTCATGAAGATCTCTCCCTCCGCGTCATGCGATGGTCCTGAAAAAAACTGGTCGATACGCTTCTGTCTTTTCTCACTTCGTGTCGAGGACGCATCGTCGTGAACAGACGAACTGCTATTACGTTGAAAGGCTGTTGAGCTGGAAGAACGGCTAGCAGCTTCCACAGAGTTGCGTGTTTGAATATAGGCTTGATAGAATTTGAGATGGCTTCTATAGTTTTCCGGTCTCCCTCGAATTCTCTTCGGCTCAGGGACAGGAGGCTCGTGCGGTGTTGCGCGGTGACTACCCTCAGCTGGCTGCCGCGAAGCACGATACGCATTGTTGCAGTGGTTGCAAATGTGGTATGTCCGGTTGTTACCGGCGTCTTCATGCAAGTCTGTGAACTCGTCGCGCTCTTGGCACGATGGGTGGCCCATGCTTCGGTACGGTGAAGTGTTCGATGTGCGATAGCTAAATACACTTGTCGAGCGTGCGTATTTCAGAAATAGAGACTTGCTGTATGTGGTATCAGTATTACTTTGACGGTGGAGACCGGATCACTCCGTCCAGTGAATCACCACCAACCGCCAGGTGCACTGGTTTTACACTGGTGTTTTCTACACCAAAACCATGGTTTATCTAGGATTTTTATAAAACCATTAAATCCAAAAACCAAAAACCAGCCAACACTGGTGCACGGGAGCAGATAGTGCAATGACCGTGCAGCCGCGCGCCTTCTTGCACGCTGACAGTGGATAGTGCTTGAAGAAGTAAAACATAATGCTTACAAAGCCCCTACAAAAAGCGGTGGTTAGCGTGCCCGATTTGATGTACATAGGACAGGTTTTGCGTAGCTAAATGTAAATATCGAATTGTCAACACTACTCGCTTTGGTGTTTGTATCGTGTTTCGTTCTCGGCAGAAATGTTTACATCACGTCCAATCGCGAGGGCGAGAGACGGTCTGATCGTGCAACAGATCCCGCAGGTCGGCAATATTGCCCAATCAGGGCCCGAGTTTCGTGTCCGCTTTTGGCCATATTTGTAATTTAGGCATAGTTAAGTCAAGTCAGAAAGATAGGCGCGGTCGGTAAGGTGGGACGAAACCGCATTCAAAAGGCCGAGTGTAGCCATGCTAAAAGGTAGGCAAAAGCAGCAAGAAAGGAAACGGACGGACTTATTGACAGACGGACAGGCTACTCGGTAAGGGGGCGGGAAATTATCCAGTAAAATGTAGTACATGTTTTGATTGACGATAAAATAACATATTTATCACTACTTGTAGTAATACAAGTGTTTTTTTGCGTCGATATACTACGTGGGTTGACAATAAAAAAATATTGTCATTTAATAGGTGCATTTTTGCGTCGATAAACTACGTACGGTATTATTGTGCATTTCAATCTTTTGTCCTTTTCACTTAGCCAGATGCTAGATTTATATTAAATAAAGGTCGTTTTATTAAATCGAGGTCTTTAAAAAGTACAAATCGATCTTGCTAGACTGGCTGATAAATCGAGCCACAGCAGTCAAATCGACCGCTCGGCATTGATCAACCACCAAATCAACATCGATATTCTGTAAATCGACCTTTTTTGCCATTTTGAAATGGTAATTCGATCACAGATAAAACAAATCGATGCCTGCCTCTTCCCATCTCATTTTTACGCGTGGTTTTATGCTCCGACCGTGCTCGAGCTAGGCTATAAAACGGATGGACATTCCATCGGCAAAGCACAGTAATAGTAGTGCTGTACGTGTCGAGCTAATTTCTTACTCATTCACCTCGTCACGGAGAAAATGGTAGAAACACACGACTTAATCCGTTCAACACAACAGCTCCGGGAAGATTAGAACACAATAGCACAGAAACAAACCACACAGAGCGGCCTTTTTAATTGCACAGCTCGTGTTCCCCGGGCACATCATCCTTCGGAGACAAGACCTAAAGTGACACTAAAGTAGTAAACTGAAGTTATCATGAAGTTGCAATCAGAAAAGTAGCAGAAGTAATACTTGGGGTGCTCATGATGGTGGCACTTTACAAACTGATGAGGTATCACTGGATAACGAAACACTCAACAATGATGACAGCACAGTAGGTGGCGATGCTCCCGACGGCAATATCAGCGTACCCGATGTAGACTGGAACTGGTTTGACACAGAATTTGCTGAGTTCGTCAATGATGATGGGGCTGAAGTTGTCAAATTGTCGGTGCAGCAACTTGACGAAATCGTGGGGCTGTCGCGAAATGAAACTGTACAGCAGTCTTGTGATGAAGCAGAGGAAGTTTCTGTTGAAGTTTCTGTGGACGATACGGTGGTCGATTCTGTGGAACATGCCGTGGAATATACTGTGGATTGTCCCATCTGCTACAAGTCAGATAGCCAGACAGAATAATGGGTGTATAGCAACTGTCGCCAGTCGTACCACCGTAGCTGTGTTGGACAGTTTTTTGAGCATGATAAAAGATGTCCCATCTCTCGCACGCATATCGATATGGAAGTGGAAGATGATGAAGTGATTATCGTGCGTCATATCCCTGCTCGGCCGACGTGTTTTATTAGCGGGCATAATGACCACAACGGGGACATTATACAGGAGGGCCCTCAGTGCCCGCACCAATTCGGCATTCAGTGTTTACGTGTATTCAACATGGTGAACCTCAGCGAGAATCGTGCAGCACACTTCAAGTGCCCAGCATGCATGCAACCGTTTCCAGTCGACAGTATATACTTCGGTGATGACTACCTGAGTGACAACTCAAACGATTCAGCTGACGAAGAATACCAACCTAGTGCCAGTGTTTCAGCAGCGTCATCAGAATAGGCAATATGCACGGCAAGGCATTACTACATAAAGCATATGGCGTGCTTGAGGGGTAGACGAAGCGCATCAAGCCACCCATTCGCTGAGCGTTGATGGATACGCTGACGGGGTGGGATGGCATCTCTGGTTTTTGCATCATGAGCAGACGATAGCCCTCGTTCCGCGGACGGGCCACGTGAGAGACACTCACGTGTTTAAGATCGCCCAGGTATTCGCCTAAGCTCTCGTCCGCTCCAACGAACGCCTGAGCCACAACGGCCAATTGCTGGTAGCAACGCTCCTCGCCAAGGCAACCTTTGTAGCCTCCACCAAGCCATTTCCACAATTGCCGCCGTAGGAACAACAGTTTATATTGCAATACAGATGCATGAGTGAGTTACGGCAATATCCAACTCGGCATGTATCATCGCAGTCGCACCAGCCAAAGTGCGGGGCCGTAGGAAAGACCAGACCAGTAGGGGTGTACATCACGAGGGGACGTACCAAGATCAAGATTACCTTGGATGGAGCCATGGTGTACTTCTTCGACGTGTGGGTCGGCGAGATGTCAGACCAGGACGCGATCTTCTGTATGGATTTCATGGTACCAGCGGGGATTCGCTTGGACTTGGCCGACGGGACGCTATGCTTACCCGAAGAGGTCCGCATCCAGTCGTCCGGACGACACCCGCTGTATGGCGAATACGTTCGCCCAGTCGGTTTGGACGGGCTCAAGATAATAGACGCGCGACAGAGCATCGAGATGCCATTAGTTAATCTTGGGTTTTATGCGTCTTGACTAGCCTTGAAGCAGCTATTATCGTATATCTTCAACCTCACTTTTGAGGCTGATTGCACTTTTGAGACCGACAATACTTTATTGTAGTGTATTTACAATCGCACTATTGAGGACGACCGCACCATTGAGGACTGCACACAAAGGAGCGACTGCACAGCTGATGCCGACTGCACATTTGAGGTCGAGATCGCAATTCTGAGGACGATGTTTACGCTCGCTTACGTTTTCTAATCTCTGCAAGAATTTTGTAAACTGTTAGGTCATCATGAGTGCAAAGTGCAAAGTCTGCCTCGAATTGGTCCTGGTCACCGGCGCGCTTTTCTTGACCATATTCAGCGATGATCTTCATTAGAGAAAGACGCGATCGATGTAACTTGCGTTCATGTGGGAGCATGTCAACGCCATCTCTGAACTGGTGGCATACCGCATTAGCATGCCAGTACTGGTTAACGTAGTCCCGCCACCCTTTAGCGTCAGGTAGCTCCGACACCAAGTTCGCAGAGTCGTTTGCAATATGAGCCGATTCAGGTTCCACGATGCCGCCGCCTTCGTCATTTTCCGTTCGTTGAGCCGAGCTCTGGCTCGAGCTAATAGATTTCATCATATCGCGAAGTGCCGCTAGAATTGCAGTTTTGATGTCTCCAACGATTGAAACCGAAAGGGAGGGAGCAGACTCGTTAGGCACATCAGCAGCCTCATCCGAAATAAAACTGTTGCTAGGTTGAGCGCAGCTGTAGTCGAAGTCGTGAAGGCTTGCCAGGGGCCTATTGGTAGGTATATTCGCATCAGGGGCCAATAAAATCCCCAAGTTGGTTTTCCTCGCGATCTAGAACGTCGTCTAGTAGATATCGTGTTACGGTCTCAGCCTTTTCAAGTGGCGCCCATCCTGCCCACCACTTCACCAACTTCAAAGACCAGCCGCTTTGTCCAGGAGCGAGCATAAATCTGTACTGAGCCCCGCCTCGCCTAAAGCAATGTGATGTAAACCAGATGTCATCCCCAAGGAGATTCTTGCTGATTCCAGCTGCATTGGCGACAATGTTGAGAATCTGAGTGAAGTTACTGTTCGACATCGGAGCGCCCCATTTAACGCCGACATTCCCAAATGTCCCATTAGAACTGGTGCTAGCGAGAGAGCTCTTTGGACGTTTAGCATTGCCGCGGGGAGCCTTTGTCAGTGCTGGGAACGCGTAGTCACCACTGTCCCACTTGTGGTTTAACTGCGTACATGCATATTTAAACCATCTCTCCAGGTACGTCAAAGCCTCGGTAGCTTGTTCATCTTAGAGAGGTGATGCAAATAATATGTGCGACATGCCAGTGGATCATGATCCGTTTTTCGGTCGCGTATTGTGAAACATCCAAATTCGATCTCCTTGTCGTTCTTGCGCGACTTGCGCCGAAGTCCGAGCTGAATATCCCCATTCGGCATGAGCAGCACCTCGTTTATTCGACACATCCCGTAAAAGGCAAGCGAGCACACGGCGGAAAACCACAAGCGCATCGTCTCATTAAAGTCCGAATCGGTTTCCACGAAAGTGATTACTCGCGTTAGCATCGCGAGCGACATAGATGACGCGCGCTTAGGAGTTCTTTCACGCTTTTTTGCTTTACTTGGGCCTGCGAGGATTTGCGTAATTGCTGCGGATTGGGCGGGGTTTCCGCGTGGCACAATCGATCCATCTGCTTGAGTTTCAATAACTTAGCGATCGTGCGGGTGTCCACCTGAAAGCATTTCCGGCTTCGCGTAATACCAGCTAATCGCGGCGCGTAGCTTCTCAGCAGACCACTGACTCTTGTTTGCCGTCGCGAGCTGATTTATGTACGCTGCTAGTACGGCGGGGAGCTGAACAAATCGCTGTTTCATCGGGTCTGGGTATTCTTCTGCTATGCAAAAATCGGTGAACCGACGAAGGCTGCCGGTATAGTCGACCCGCGTGCGAGACTCGAGTCGTTGGTCGGCAAACTTGGCTGCAGCGATGGCCGCACCGTACAGGCGACTAGTTTCGGGCAGGTCCATTGCAGTCGCTTGCACTCCGCGAAGGGAAAATATGAAATGAAACTTGTTATTTCTATGCGTGGCCCGTGCCTGACAAAGTATCTTCCTCAATTGTGCAGTCGTCCTCAAATGTGTGGTCGCCCGCAAAAGTGCAGTCGCGCGGAAACGTGCAGTCTTACGCAAAAATACGGTACAGTCATTCGTGAAAACGGTATATACATTTATGGATTATAGTGGTCGGTGACTTATGGGGCTTTCCCATGGCTACAATGTTTTGACCAATCAGAGTGCGTCGCACAGCCAATTTGGTCCCCTCGCACCAGTGGGAGAAGTAACTGTATTGTATGTTACTTTTGCAAACGCCTTGCAATTCAAACATTCAAGCGCTCAGCACCGGCAAGAAGAGAGGAGAGTGAGCGTTGCTCTGTGCGATCCATACAGCAACATGCCGGGTCTCCGCGGTGAGGAGTTCCCGGCGGAGGCACTCGCGGAAGGCGAAAAGATCGAGTACTACTCGAGGTGCTTTGTGACGGGCGACCCACGAGGCTTAGAGTAGCAGTGATACTAAGTGTAGACGATACTCCTGGAAATGAGCTGCCAGTATCAATCGACACTGGAGAACCGCTGCCCCTCACAATCTTCATGCGTCGCAGACGCGACGTTCTGGGGTGCGAACTAAACATAGAGCACGTCAAATGGCGCAAATTACGGGCATACCAGCTCGAGGCCGGCAAGGTAGGCCGGCCGACGATGGCAAGCGCTCTGTGCAAGGCCAGGTCGAGCGCTGTGAGTGATGCAATTAATGCTACGATGGGTCAACTACGTGGTGAGGCCGAACACACCTCCGGTGCGACCTCAGTAGCTCAATGTGTCGACCAATCACCGTCGCCAAGGGTGTCTGACTGTGTCGACGCTCCCAGAGTTGTGGAAACAGACGCAAAACGCAAAAAAAAAGACGAAAGTGAATCAAATACGTGTATCCAACGTGCTACGTGTTAAAGAAATCCTACTGGAGACAGCAAAGCCGGCGAATCGTCTGTGATCGATCTTACGTCTGAGCTTTGTCATGGAGAGGTGAACGACCAGGCTATCCGCGCAAGTACACTTGATGACTTGTTTCAGTGATTTCGCGCGCACAAAGCAACACAAAAAGACACAATGGCACACTGTGAGTCACAAAGAACCACAAATAATCACAGAGCTGTCACTTGCATGGCCGAATACGTCATGAATCATAAAGCTAAACGGCTTATACCGAGCGTCATTGATGTTGTGGGTGGCATCCACCATCATCACTTCTGGAAAAGCCTCAAAGAAGCGGCGCATCTGATGAGTCTGGAACGTGATCGTCTAAGCCAGTTTATCTTCGTCGACATAAACCGTAGCTGTGTTTCCCTTCTGAGAACAAAAATTACGTAAACAGCAATACAGTCTAAATTCCACAGTTGTAGCCCCCCGCCACGCTTCCTTGATATTGGCAACCATGTTGTGTACGTCCCTTAGGGTGACTCGCTTGCCTTTAATAAAAGCGGTGTAGTAACGGTATAGATCTCATAATAAATAGCAGGCGTACCTGTTTTCCGCCTCAAGTACTCCATGCTCATCTTTTTCTTCGCTCCAGCCGCCTGCAACTCCTCAACGAAGACGAGGACGTCAGCATCTTCAGCTCGACGCTTGGCAGGGTGATTGGCGTAGGTGAGTTGACCGAGGGGGTGATTGTGGACAGTGGATTGCTGAGTTACTTTCACCTGGAAGCCTAAATCCGCAACCCAGACCCCTGTAAGAGACAACTGCGCCTGACATTGTGTCGACTTCATAAAATAGCTCTCCTATTTCCCTTTAGATCGGCTTGGCCGTGACCATCCATGCGTGCATATCATCCGCTAGTAATACTTTTCGAAAGAGGCTGGAATAAGTGTTGTAGATGTAGCCTTTTCCACGGCGCATGAGGTCCGTGTTTCTTGCCTCGATACTCGGAGATGTCCTCTTGCGGAAGACTTGGTACGTTTCATCTTGATACTTGTTTAGATACTTTAAAAAAAATTGTCCCAGCCCGCGAAATGACGCTTCTCCATAGACCGCGCAACGAGCTTCCTGTCACCAGACGAGGAAATATGGACCTCG